CATTTTCCTTCCGTTCTCCTTCGCAGATCAGAGGAGTGCGTGAAGATCTTTCAATTCTGACACCATGTCATGATATTGAGACGTCAACTTGATGATGAACTCAGTCTGCCTTTATTCACATGCGCAGTATCAAAACAGAAACTTGCAGACGTTTCTAGCCCGCCCCCGTTGCCCAGCAACCTGGACCCTTAAACTAACAGTCTATCACAACTTGTACAAATATCACCACAGGTCCTGTCTCGAGTTTTTGACTATTTTAGAATCGCCTGTGAGAGCTTTAGACTGGCTGTCTATGGGCGTGCACAAACATGTCCATAAAACAACCCTTAACGTTCATTTTCAAAACTGTGCAACTCATCGAGAGGTTGGTGGTGTTCGTTGATGTTCTGAAACAAGTAGCGTATCGAAATACCGTTTCTGTTGTGTTTTATTTGTCATTTTTTAAAATCGCATTGATGTCTGCTGGAGGACTCAGTGCTCGTTGATATTACTGCGCTAGCTACCGGAAAAGGAAAGGGGTCTGTTTACATTTGGTTGTAGTCTTTTCGCTCGGTTCTCCGTCTTTCAGAAGGTTAGCGTGAGAAGAGCAAATGTGCTCCCGGACTTTTTTTATGGTGCGCTAGACACCGTGTTCCGCACAGCGTCCTGGTTGTCGCCATCAAGTGGTCAGGAGTGTGCTAACATTTCAGACTCAAATATCGAGTGGAAGTTTATACGCGGTTGTGAGGTGTCTGAATAAATAGTTCCACTATAGCAAACAACACGGATTGAAACCATACATTGCGCCGATGTATTTGTTTTTAATCATTCAAAACATTTCATTCAAAACAAACTACAAAATAGACTCAAGGTGTTAAATACCGAAATTATCCTTTAAAACCAGCTACGACTGTACTAAGCGATTGTATATGCTCATATAAACGCCAAAAGTTCATGGGGCACTAACCTTGTTTTAAGATTTTAAAATGCATTTTATTCACAATGTATTGGATAAGTACTTCATTACCCACAATCCTGAACATTCCCACAATCCCACAGTGATGCATCTGATTGGTGGAACAGACGGAAGATGGTGTAATGACACAGGGCATTGGTCGCACCTCTGAGACGCTCCCGCGACATTGGATGTGCAGTATCGTAGCACAGCCTATGAGCGAGCCAGATGCTCAATGTTTTTGCATGTGGAGCTGCAAACGTGTTTGCTTCAGTAAATCGAGGAAAAAACCTTTCCCTGCACATTCACTATATAAAATTCACTGGAGGAAAAAGTTCACGTGGCCATCGTCAGATTTGGAAGTCACTCAAAAGGCTTTATTACAGTGGTTTTAGTCGACTTTAGTGAGGCGCGGTGGTTTATGGGAGGAGTAGTTCCTTTGCTTGGAAATGAAAATGTACACAGGCTTGTACCCTTGACTTTTTTGGGGGATTTTCTCTTCTGTTTTTCACTCGAAATGATATGTTGTAGTGCTTATGAGTTCAGCCGTAGCTGGTTATCCTCAGACATGCTATAATACTCTTTAGATATGGATTTTACAAAATGTCAATGGGAGAAATGACTGGGAAATTTACTTCCGGCACCAACACTCTCTCGGGCGCTGGGCGGGACTGTGATGCTGACAGTGTTTCCCAACCCTGTTCCTGGCGGCACACCAACACTGCGTGTTTTCTTTGTCTCCCTAATTAAACAAACCCGATTCAACCCATCAGCTCATTAACCCACCTGATTATGAGCTGATGGGTTGAATCAGGTGTGTTTGATAAAGGAGACAAAGAAAACACGCAGTGTTGGTGTGCCGCCAGGAACAGGGTTGGGAAACACTCTAGACCTTATGCACCAGAGAAACGTGGGCGCCGTCATCTTTTTTGCAGTCGCTCTGAATATTTCTATGGCATTGTTGTCGAGGAGTAATTAGCTGGTGAAGTGGATTTACTTATTGGTAGAGTTAACAAAAGTTAGCATTAGCATTGTAATGTTTATCATAAGCATTGTAAAGCAGATGTCTTAACAAATGTCGACCGGGAATTTTTTTACGAGCAGTTCATTCATACCTATACAAGATCGCTGTGAAAATACAGACCGGAAGACAAAACGACGACAACGAGCGCAGTGCTGAAAAGGGGCGGGGCTACATAAGGTCTATAGCCTAGGCCAGCGGTTCTCAAACTGGGGGCCGTGGCCCCCTGGGGGGCCACTAGATGGCGCTAGGGGGGCCGCAAAGAAATTCTAGAATATGAAATTATTTAAAAAAATTATTTTACCTGTATGTAAGTTTGTATTGTCCTATGTGAAATCTGCATTGCATGATTTCTTTTATATTGTAAAACTTGTATAAAATTGTATGTCTTCTATATTGAAAAACTATTTCTTTAAGTAGAATAGAATTTTTTTTTGTTTCTTGCAGGAAAAAAAGATTGCTGAAAAAACAGATTGCTGTTCAAAATTGCAAACCAAACTTGAGCCACTGTCATTTACTACCTTAAAATGTAAGAAGTTTAATGCACTTTTTTACAATCAGCAAATTAATTTTTCAGTGTTCATCTTTTACTATGAACATCACAAATGTTCAGTATTCAATACTTTTGTTGCACTTTTCAGACAATATTACTGTTAACTGTCAAAACTATTTTTTATAAAAAATTGTTATATTTAATGAAATGTACAATTTAACTAATTTTGTATATTCAAAGACATAAAGCTACAAACAGAACTGTTGTTCCAGCATTGTACAAATTCATTTGTTTTTGGTACAATCTAAAATTTGTAAGTAAAATTGTACGTTTGAGGATGTTTTCGTTATGAGTTTTCTTTTGGGGGGCCACAAAATGATTCACCCTACACAAGGGGGCCTCCTCCTGAAAAAGTTTGAGAACCACTGGCCTAGGCTACTTGCTGAGACTCCTTTATGTGTACAGATGTGACGTAATGTGACGAATATCCCGCGGAAATCCACCAGTACCACTGGAATTAAAAACATTATAAGCTTACCGTTTTGAATCGAGCTAAAGCAAACAGATAATTTTGAACACTGGCTGGTTATGTAGCCTACTTACACTAAAACATTTATTTTGAATAATTTTTAACCCAAAAAAGCAAAGGACTACAGCTTTAGTGTGAAATGTTGCATTTATTGAATAAGTAAATAAATAATTCTGATGGACAAAAAAATGTCCCATAAATTTTTTATAATTATTGCATAGTAATAGAAACCTTTAAAAATTCTAAATAATAATCAAAAATATTATTGAACAAAATAATACTTCGTTCATTTTTGACTGGGAAGAAGCCAAGTGAACGAATAAGAGGACCAGAGGACTTTTTCTTTTCTTCTTTCAATTTCACATGTCTAAACTCGAAAACTCGCGTTCGATCGGCCCCATGTCCGGCATCCAATCAGCACGGAAGGTCTTTAGGTGTTACTGTCTTTTCTCATGGCAAAGTATTTTTGATTAAATGCAATACATTTTCGCATGTATTTTCTCGTTATTTCATCTGACTTTTTTAATGATAAAAGTTTTTTAATGATATCTGTGCATCATTAATTATAAGCTAACATTTTACTATTCGTTTTAAAGGGGGGGGGGGGTAGAATGCTATTTTTCTTTGGATGATTGTATTTTTGGGGTGTAATATAACATGTATTCGTGGTTTTTCTTTTTTTAAAAATCTTGTTTCTCATAAACTTCACCTTTATTGTCAGCCGCGCTCTCCTCTGTCCTCGAATGACTGGTCGACTTCCTGATGAAATCACTCCCTCAGAAACACGTAGTGGGCTCAGATTGGTTAGTTTGGCCCGGTGTTGTGATTGGCTAAAACTGTCGCTCACTTTGTCCGGAAGGTTAACGCCCATTACCATTACGGGCGAAACGTGCGCGTCATGAGCTCCGGTCCAGATGGAAATATCTGTCGAACTGCAGAAAAAAAAAAAAAAAAAAAAAAAATCTGTCGAACTGCAGTTCAGGCATAATCAGCCTGTGAAAGCCGCGATGGAGAGTCAAGCAGAACCTCACCACATACTACAGCTCTTACTAAACGTTTCTGAATGATAATTTGCTACATTTTTTAACTTTATACACGTTTGTTTTAGACAATAGCATCTGACTGGCAACAATAGCAACTGACTGGCTACTAATGTTATACTCAAACAGCGTTGGCATAACGTTCTTGATCAAATCGAAAATAACGTCATAAAGCATATGTTTTCTCTAAACTCTTCAAAACCTTATTACTTTTTGTTTTACTGCAATGCTCTTCAGACTTCCATCATATGCAAATAAACCTCAACAAATGATCCAGAATGCTGCAGCTCGTTGTCGCTACCTGTCGCTGCTCGTATCAAGTTCAAGACATTGACGCTCTCTTACAGATCCTTCCTACTTTCACTCGCTCCTACGATCGGTCAATGAGCGACGGCTAGTATCATTACAGAGAGCCTCAAAATCACTCTCCAGAACATTCTCATTCACGGTTCCATGCTGGAGGAATGATCCCCCCACCCTCATCCGAAATGCAAAAATTACCTAACAGCATTCCAAAGACAGCTGAAAACTCATTTCTTCCGTGTTAACCAAAACAACATTTATTTCCTTTTCCTTAAAAACCTTCCTTGTATTTTGAGCACTTCTTGCATTGTTTTTGCCTTTTCAGGATGACTCGTTTGCTTTAGTCCTCAGTTGTTAGTAAAATAAAATTAAAATAAGTGTCTGCTAAATGACTAAATAAATACTTATTTGAGAATAAGACACTGCAGTCACCCTGAGACATTTAGAATGATACTAAACATGTATAATACTTAATGATAATCATTCACATCCAACCATATTTTTTGTGTGAATTTTTCTTGATATAATGAGAGGGGGAAGAAATGAATGCTAGGTGAAACTTTTGTCTCAAAAGGTGAGATTTTTTTGGGGGATTTCCTGTTCTGACATGACTCATTTTCACCTCGCTGCAGTTTCTTAAATATCATGTGATTTACAGCAGCCTTCAGATCTCATTTGAACCTGGGTATGTATAAGACAACAACAGAATATAGTGTCCAGCTTTCTTTTATCAGTCAAGTTGTACATGAATTCAAGACGCATCTGTTGCAAGATATTTATCAGAGAGTTTTCATTTGCTGTTTGGAATCCAGATTCAGGTTTGTAAGATTTTACTTTATACAGTTAGGGGAGAGTTGTAAGAGGCATAGGGAAGTACATGGGGCCCTTCTGACAGAAGTTTGTTATTATTTTTTATTCTGATAATATGCAGTGATTTTAAGAGCGTGGAGGTTTTAGATGGCATATTTTGTAACTTTGTCTCTTTAAAGGAGGGTTATTGGCTAGAAAGAAGAAAGAAGAACCTTGAAAGAGGGGAGAAAAATCTGAAAACCTGATCATTTAGAAGACCTGACACACTTGCAATATAAAATCGAACAACATGGGTAAGAAATGAAATTTATAATACGATAGCATTAATATCCTGTACATGCATATTTTATGTTTCATAATGTGATGACAATTTGTTTTCTTTTTTAGAAAAGCATGCAGTTGAAAAGGGACTGTGGGCAACTCCTCAATCACCACTAACATTGGCAGTTGCAACAGTTGTTGTAGTAGGTTTTATATTAATGCCAACAGGTGACACAATAGTTGGAGCAGCAGCAGGAGGAGCAGCTGGATTTTGTATTTTAAAATCACTGTGGGAAGAAGAACAAAGAAAAGACCAATTAGCAGTAGCAGTAACAGCAATAGCAGGAGGTCTAGCAGGAGCAGGAGCAGCAAAGTTGCGATCAATGGTAGGAGCACCGTCACTAATAGGATCAGCAATATTTGGAGCAATAGCAGGAGCTGTCATAGTAGCAATAGCAAGAAAGTTGTTACAAAAAGTTGTACATAAAATAGAGAGGTTAAAAGATCTCTTTAAATCATGTGTAGTAGCTCAAGTGGCAATGGGAGCAGTGCTATTAACATGTGTAATAAATACCATAAAGTGGGTAACAGATCTAATAAAGGGGGCAGTAGACAAAGTTAAATCAGCAATAAAATGGATTAAAGAAGCCGTAAACAAATTATTCAACACATTAGCATCAATGGTATCAGGATTACCAGCAGTTGCAGCAGCAGCATTAGGATTAGCAGCATTAGCATTAGCATCAGGATTAGCATCTGGATTATTTGGAGGGTTACTGGTACTCGCGTTAGTAGTTGCATCAGGAGCAGCAATTTTTGGATCGCACATGAGTGGACAATCACAAGAAAAAGATGTGGTGTTACCAATTGCTGCTCTTTTGCTTTTTGTTTTATTTTGTATACTTACCTCTGTGGGTGTGTGGCGCTTTTGCTGTTTGTTGTTGTTTTTCATGTGTTTTCTGTGGTTCACCAAGAAAGGCTAGCATAAAAGCAAGTTGATTGCATCAGATAAAAGGATGAGATCTGCAGGATGAGATCTGACTTCTTCCTGCATTTCCCTGTGTCATGTTTACCTATTTTGAACAGCGATCCATTTAATCCAGTGTGTCCAAACCTAAGTCTCAATATTATTATCCCGTCCCTCCTATTCATATCCCTTCCATCTTATTTCTCACACTTTCCTTTGGACCCTGTAAAACCATTGCCCTTTTCTCACTTCCTCCCTTTGCCACCTTTTAAGTCAAGAGCACTTTTTAATAGTGCTCTTGACCTGACCTGCCCTGCTGATGCTAACTGTCGAATGAATCATTGTGCTTACTTTTAGTAAGTTCCTTTGCTATCTGCTAATGGCTATCTGCCATTTCATTTCCTTTGACCACAAAGTGTGCTGTTACCCACAATAATCTACTGTAAATACATAATTTGTATTATGTATAGGCTAATGTTTCTCACATCTCTATCAAAATGTCTGGTCTGCTTCTAAATGACTGCACTGTAAACTGATTAATGACAAGCTTGAGTCTGAACAAATGATTGCTCTTTGTGATCTTAAATGTACCATAATGCTAATACTATTGCATGCATTTCTAATGTGTAAAATGATTCCCTCATTGATCCTTTTTTTCCACTCTGATTAAATTTTGTAACAATAAATGCTGTATCACCTGTATTCTCTGATGCATCTGTACTGTATATATAACCGTGTACGTGGTTATCAACTGGATAGTGTTATTTCTAAATTTAATGGCTGATATTGTATCATATCTTATTTTTTGAGAGATGTGTCTGTCACTGACACATACAAGTGTATGTGTATTTCCTACTCAAGTAAAGTGGTATTTGACTCTGGTGAAACCATCCAATAGAGATAGATTGGTGCAGGTATGATGTCAGAACCCAGTCTAATTAGATTTTCCTGTGGGGTTTCATAAAGGGGTTTTTCAGTTTATGAGTAAAATAAAAGCCTGTGGTAAACTTTATGATACTTTGACTTTTTTTGTTCTCCACTACACTACACTGCACACTCACACCCCAAGCCGTCTTATCTACAGTGGGGCCAAAAAGTATTTAGTCAGCCATTGATTATGGAAGTTCTCCTACTTGGAATAATGAGAGAGGTCTGTAATTTCCATCATAGGTACACTTCAACTACGAGAGACTATTAACATAAATTAAATTATACAGTAGTCCAAACACTATAGGCTATTTACTTCTGATTTTGCAGAAATCATGTTAAAACGTTATAAGCCAGCAAACGCGATAGGCAACTTTAGTATTAAAAAGCAGTCTAACACTTGACAGTAGTTCAGTAGATATGCAGTAACAGGGGGAATAACGGTTATTTATGACAGTGCAAGTACACCACAGTGGCTCTAGAGGTCACTGTTTTACAAAAAAATCTGAGACTGCATGGTGTGGCTTTAAGAAGAAAAAAAAATCCAGGAAATCACATTGTAGGATTTTTAAAGAATTTATTTGTAAATTATGGTGGAAAATAAGTATTTGGTCACCCACAAACCAGCAAAATTTCTGTCTCTCACAGACCTGTAATTTCTTCTTTAAGAAGCTCTTCTGTCCTCCACCCAATACCTGTATTATTGGCGCCTGTTTGAACCTGTTATCTGTATAAAAGACACCTGTTCACAGTCTCAAACAGTCACACTCCAAACTCAACCATGGCAAAGACCAAAGAGCTGTCGAAGGACATCAGGAAGAAAATTGTAGACCTGCATCAGGCTGTGAAGAGTGAATCTACAATAGGCAAGCAGCTTGGTGTGAAAAAATCAACTGTGGGAGCAATTGTAAGAAAATGGAAGACATACAAGACCACTGATAATCTCCCTCGATCTGGGGCTCCACGCAAGATCTCATCCCATGGAGTAAAAATGATCATGAGAACGCTGTGCAAAAATCCCAGAACTACACAGAGGGACCTGATGAATGACCTACAGAGAGCTGGGACCAAAGTAACAAAGGCTACCATAAGTAACACACTACACCGAGAGGGACTCAAATCCTGCAGTGCCAGGCGTGTCCCCCTGCTTAAGCCAGCACTTGTCCAGGCCCATCTGAAGTTTGCCAGAGAGCATATGGATTATCCAGAAGAGGATTGGGAGAATATCATGTGGTCAGATGAAACCAAATTAGAACTTTTTGGACAACTCGTTGTGTTTGGAGGAAGAAGAATGCAGAGTTGCATCCCAAGAACACCATACCTACTGTGAAGCATGAGGAAACATCATGGTTTGGGCCTGTTTTTCTGTAAAGGGGACAGGGAAACTGATCCGTGTTGAGGGATGAATTAACGGGGCCATGTTTCGTGAGATTTTAAGCCAAAACCTCCTTTCATCAGTGAGTGCCTTGAAGATGAAATGTGGCTGGATCTTCCAGCATGACAATGATCCCAATGTCTCAGGCGTGCACCTGAGACTCGCATCTCTCTGGCTACGTCCACATTAATCCGGATACATTTGAAAACGGGGTTTTCGTTTAAAAACGCTCTCCGTCCACACTAGTGTTTTCAGGCGTTTTCTGACGTTTCAGTGGTGGATGAGAAACTTCTAAATTCACTTTACTGCACATGCGTGAAACTTCACAAAAGCTCACTGAGACGTTACAGAGGGGGAAATAAATATTAAAGTTATCGCGCAATTCTTCTAACGGGATCATTTTATTTAGCAAAATATCTCACCATCACTGATGCGTCCAGGTCGCATTCAGTCACCATATTTGGTCTAAAACGCAACTCCTGTTTTGCCGCAGGATAGCAAATGTGAGTACATTATCTGTCATCTTTGCAGTACTGTGCTATGAAGAATAGCACATATTAAGTAACATAGAAAGTAACATATTTTATCAACAGTGTAAAAATGAATAACACATAACAGGCACAATACCGATAAACATGAATATCTATTGGTACTACATGGATCACATGACTAAACTTACGTCATCGTTTTGAAATACCTCCGGTTTCACTGTCCACACTACAACGCGAAAACGGCGTTTTTAAATTTATCCACTTTGGAGAGCGTTTTCCAAACGATACGTTTTTGGTGACTTAAAACGGCGTCTCAGTGTGGACGGAAGGCCAAAACGGAGAGAAAAATATACGTTTTCAAACGAAAACGTATTAGTGTGGACATGGCCTCTGTAGGTAAGGGCGTGGTGAGCTGATATCTGCTTATGTCACAGGGCACCACAACTTCCAATAGGAGAATTGACCTGAAGAGGGCAGCACTCCAACGTTTTTACAACATACGTACATTGTAGAATTAAAACACACTTTATACCCAATTGTCAAAAAATATACTCGAATCAATGAACAGGATTAATAAATCCCCAGTCTTACAGGTCATTAAATTAAAAAAAAGTTGCTTTAGTTACCCTTTAAGAGAATAGGGACAATCCTTTTAGACCATGGGCCAGGCGCCGACCATTTTTCCCGTCGTTAAACTGGCAAAAGTGGATTCGGACACTGACTATAACGCTTCACCCAACGGTCCTATTTATCACTGCGGAACACTGCAGTTCGTATGATATTTTTATTTGAGCTTTCATGCATATTACACATTGGAACGTTGTTGCTGTTCATGGTCAGGGACTATTTATTTTCTAGTGGAAGGGAGGTTTTTAGTGATTTTACTTTATGAAAGTTGCACTAATACATACTTTTTTTAATTTAATATTTTTATTGATTTTATTTTTATAGTTTTATAAAAGCAATAAGGTACTCGAGGCAAGTGCTGTATCGTGAATAAGTCACGCTGAAGGGGTCGCTGGCACTCCACTTTGCGTCGTTCCTAACAACGCCCTTCAGCCGCTACTTATTCACGATACAGCAAAGCCTCTCGTACCTTGTTGCTTCCATAAAATTATACAAATATCAGAACTAAACCCATTTTATTTTTTTTTAATGTAAGAATTATTAGGGGGGGGGGGGGGGGTTGTTAAATCGCTAATTTAAAAGCAAAAGTAATTGTTCGTCGGCACGGACATTGATAATGGTGTAGAGTACAGCAAGTGATTTCAATTAATTCCTATGGAAGAAAAACATTCCCTTTTTTCTGCTTGCTCCTCGCTCACACACACACACATTGATTGTTTGCATTTTTAAGAAGTCTAAAACAGAAAACAAACATATGCATGCTTAAAGGTAATTTTATAGATACAATATATAATTCTTTTATTTAAGATCTGAATTTGAAAGACAAAAATACATAGGGTGATTGAAACATATCTTGTACTACATCATAATGTTTTGCACAATGGGCATCACATGTGCAGTAAATGAAAGTTCAATTTAAATATTAAATAACTGATGACAAAACAAAAGTAAATATGTAAACACTAAGCTAGTAAGATATTTGTTTTTCTATTGCAACACTTCCGATTAAAGTGGTTTGGTAACAGTACAAAGAAAGAAGTCATTGAACAAAACTCATCTTCTTCCAGTTGTGGTGGAAAAACACAGTGCTCTTCAGACATCCTTGCAGTTATTCAGTTACTTGACTTATTTTTCCTTTTTTTTAATGGTCCATGGATTTAGTTTTTCTGCATCATGTCTGCTCACGCCACTCCGAACGTCTGTAAATTAGCCTAAATTAACTCCCAACCATCTGTGGTTTTAAACCAAAGCACTGACAATTCATTGGTGTGTATTTTTAGGTAAGGGGCATTAATGTGAACAGTCCTGTGCATGTTGGTGAGCATTAGTGGGCTTCTCTATTATTAATTCCCATACAAGCAGATGACAGATTTAGATTTAGTAAGGCCCCTATGCTGGATTAAGATCAGAATAGACTAGACTAGATTAAATTAGCATCTGGGAGAGAAAGGGGGGTCAGCAGGTGACTCTGTGAATGACTTGAGCTCATAGGCAGCACCACTGTCCACTTCCATGGATTTACGGGAGAAAAGGAGCCGGATGTCCCGATGGAGGTAGATCTTTCCAGATTTGGAGCTCTGGAACCTGGAGAGAAATAAAGGTCAAACAGTTAATAACTAGTAACTAGTGTCATGCAAACAACAATGTTGGTAGCATGTTTAAACCACTAGTTGGCAAATACAGCAATCTAACAACAGTTTCTTTGTCTTCCTCAAGGGGGCGTTTGATGGCTCAGAATGTTGAATCCTTGGTGGAGTCTTGTAGATCATATACTAAAATATTATACTAAAAAAGAATTGGGTTGGTGCCTGACATACAATAAAAATCTGCAGATCTGCAATAAAAAGTGCAACAAGTAAAAAATAGGGCTGTTAATGGCATCAAAATAAAAGTTTGTGTTTACATAATATATGTGGGTGCACTGTGTATAATTATTTTATACATATAAATACACACACATACTTGTATATACAGTATTTAAGAAATATTTCCATGTATATACTGTATATAGATTAATATATATATAAATATACATTTTTTTCTTAAATATATACATGCATGTGTGTGTATTTATTTATATATATATATATATATACAAAATAATTATACACAGTGCACCCACATATATTATGTAAACACAAACTTTTATTTTAGATGCGATTAATCGGAATTAATCGTTTGACAGCCCTAGTAAAAAATGCTATTTTTTACACTAAGTGAAAATTGAAGTATTTTCTATGCGCCATTTATAACGATTTCAATGACATGTGAGTAGATGTTAAATCTTCATGATGATTTGCACTCGGCTTTTGCCAAGATAAGCACAAATTGAGACATAGCTTTATAGTAACCTATGCGTCTCCATTTATTTACGCTTCCTTCCATGTGAATATTCCTCTGTCTAGTGTTAATGGTTGGTGTATATTTCTGCCGCGTCAGCACACACACAACGGCTACGATACTGGGTCCGGTAATCAACCACAGTGCGGTCTCCCCAGCAGATCAGCATGACAACAGTCTGGATTGAGCCGAGTAGAGGCTTCAAGTGGGCACCTTCCGTCCTCAGTGTTTAGTCGACAAGTCCACGCCACCTAAAGAGGGCTCGACAGTGATTCTGGAGCCCAAAAGCGCCCCCTCCGTCTCTCTAACCACAATCTCTAACACCACAATCTCACCACAACCCAACCATATGCGCCAAGCCATTTGACTAAGGCTGTCAAAGCCTCACTGTCGTCATTAAAGCAGGTTCAGTGGCAACGGTTCTGTATGGCATACTACATATAAATAGTTGATAGATACTATTTGCACCTCATTATAACAGTGTGCAATAATAACAACATATTGAGTGTAAATTACTATATTTATTAAAATCATTAAATGGTTGAGGCCTTAATGGGACAATAAAGCCCTCCCCACACCTACCCCATAAACACTTCATTCCTACTATTAAATACCCGTTAAGCACTTTATTTCCACTTTAAATATTGTCTCCATTTTTATTTAAAATAAACACCATTCTGATCTGATACGTGATGGGGAAAAGGGAAAAGGTGGATTGCTTAATAGTTACCAACACCAGCCGTACTCTTTGGCTTGTTTCTTTTGTAATTTTGTTTGTAATTATTCTATGTATTCCAAGCGTTGGCAATATTGTATGATGTACAGTCATGCCAATAAAGCATTTTTTGAAGTTTTGAATTGAATTAATTTTGTTTGGCACTTAGTGTACTGTAAATAGACTCTCTATCTTGATCAGCACTGTAAAAAAATGTCATGCTATTTATGTAGCATAAATATAATTATAGTAATTATTAAATTATTCTGCATAATTATAATTATTTTTAATTATACAGTTAATTAAAAATTAAAGAACATCCTGGTTGCCTGTTCCAGAGACATTTCAATTTCATGCTAATTATACTAACTTATTATATTTGTATAGATTGACCATGAAAAATATCTACATGTGTGATCCATGGCCCAATTTTAATATGAAATAACTATGAATTATTTAACTATTATTAGAATTAACTATTTTTTTTTTCAAAAGTGATTACAAATATTAAAAAAATAAATGGTCTGTATACAGGCTCCAATATATATATATATATATGTTTTAATATTTCTACAATTAAATGTATCCGTATCCATGTTTTACTAGTATTACTAGGAAAACTGGGATCACCTTCCAAAAACTAAAAGTCAAAACCACTTCTCATTTCACATGTACTATAAATTCAAGCTATTTTTGTTAAAATATCACCATCAGTCAACATTTACATTAAATATAATTATACCCATTTCATTTGTATGCTGTTTTTCTACATGTAAAAGGCTTTTGGTTTTTTACAATATGGTTTGTGTTTTGATTTTGATAATTCTCTGAAAAAATTAGTGCATCGATTTTATGAAATAAAGCCAGATAAACAATTTTGGAGATTTTAATTCTCATTGAAGATAAGAGCTGTACTTTCATGACTAGAAAATAGCTGTCTGGAGGTGTTTCCAAGATGGCTGCCAGGGGAATAGTCTTGCTCTAATAAGGACTTTTCAAAAATACTGCATGTTCACACACCTTATTATGCAACCTCTAGGGACCAGTTAAAATAAGTATACATATTCATGAACAGGCATGTGGAGGCCACACTGTAACTGTTAAGAATGTGTGGTCTAGAACAAAAGCTTTACAGCCATTTGACAGTATTCACTGAGCATTTAAAGGAGTAGTTCACTTTTGAAAAAAACATTTGCTGATAATTTACTCACCCCCAAGTCATCCAAGATGTCCATGTCTTTCTTTCTTCAGTCGAAAAGAAATTAAGGTTTTTGATGAAAACATTACAGGATTTTTCTCCATATAATGGACTTCAGTGGGAACCAGACGGTTCAAGTTCCAAAAGAAACTTTAAGTACAAACTGCAAACTTGTTCAAAGGGCTTTAAACGATTCCAGACGATGAATAAGGGTCTTATCAAGCGAAGCGATCGCTCGTTTTATAAATAAATAACAAAGTTTAAGTTTTATAAGCTCAAACGCTCGCCTTGCTCTGTTCTGTAATGCACTCCTGTTCGAACTCGTTCATCAAAATGAACAAATCTTTTTCCGAGTCATTTGGTTCATCCGGCGAAAGAAACGAACGAATTGATTCGGAAAAAGATTTGTTCATTTTGTTGAACGAGTTCGAACAGGAGAGTCACGAATGTGCACCACAGAACAGAGCAAGGCAAACGTTTGATCTTATAAAACTTAAACTTTGTTATTTTTTTTTAAAAAATGAGCGATCGTTTCGTTTGATAAGACCCTTATTTATCGTTTGGAATCGTTTAAAGCCCCTTGAATAAGTTTGCAGTTTGTACTGAAAGTTTCTTTTGGAACTTGAACCGTCTGGTTCCCACTGAAGTGCATTATATGGAGAAAAATCCTGGAACGTTTTCATTAAAAACCTTCATTTCTTTTCTGAAGAAAGAAAGATATGGGCATCTTGGATGACATCGGGGTGAGTAAATTATCAGCAAAAGTTTTTTGAAAAGTGAACTAATCCTTTAATCCCTGTATGCCTGAATGATAAGTGAGCACTCGATGCCATGGTACTAACCTCAGATGGACGAGGTAGCGGAGAGTTCGTCCTTGCCCCAGTGAGGATGGCTTTTTGTTGTTCTGTCCATTGTACTCGCGTTTGACTGGGACTGAGAAGGTTCTCTGCCGCAGGAATGTCTGATGGCTGGCGGGCATTTCTCTCAGATCATACATCACCACAAACATCTTCACCACTGTCTTATTGGGGTTAAATAAGGTCTGATATTCAGAGACAAAAGACAAAACATCCACTGAGCATCTAAGTTACAAAATCCAAAGCAGAAAACATGCATGCAAATCCAGACAGTCGGTGAGCATTTCATCAGAAACACATGCCTTCAAAAACATAAAATAACGGTTTTATTTCACTATCCTACAAAAAAAAAAAATTATTGAAAACAGTGAATCAGAGTAATTTGTTCATGACTAATGCAAATCAAAGAATTTAAAGGAATATTCCAAGCACAAGTATCAGTAACATTTGGGGCATAATGTAAGTTACTATGAAAAAAAAAAGACTGTTTTTTTTATTTAAAAAAAAAAAAAAAAGATTTACACCAGATATGAAAGGACTACACTGAAAAGTTAAGTAAGCGGTTATTTTTTAATGACTATTGTTCTGCTTGCATGTAAATGTAATTCCTATACATTCACCAGTAGAGGGCGCATCTGTATACATTTTTAATGGTTGACGTTCTCCTTTGTTCTCATAGTATTGTCTGATGATTATTACACACACTTATGAGTAGTTATGAATCATTTGCAAAAGTGTGTCATTACCATGAAACATAATTATGTAGGTCTTTAAAATAATTTGATGAATCTTACCACTTGTATGGTTCCTGAAGGAGGTACTCGATATCCCCTCTTACCGAGGGACTCCAAGTTTATGACACCCTGAAGAGAAGCAAGAGAATTGAATAAAGATACAGTATTTAAATCACTTAGAATGTTGTATTGACTCCTTAAAAGGTGTTTGTATTACATTTATGCTCTACACAACTATACAAACCTCAAAAGTATGTGTGTGTACGTGTGTTGGGGGGGTAAAGTAAAGTAAACATGTGACATATTCAAAACAAGTACAAAATATGTAAGAAACACAGCTTGGGCCATTACCATGTAGGGGGAAGGTGCGTTATCATCAGAGACGCTGTAGAATAACACGTCCACAGGTAAGGTCATGTGACTGGGGCAGAAGGTTCCGCTGGCACCAACCTCTGCTGTGAAACCCTCAATAGTGCCCAACGGCTCCAAACGATAATTTAATACACATTCCTACACAAAAACACACAGATATACACATCAACACACACAAAGAAACATCTGTCTATCTTTCCATCCATCCATTAGGCATATCTTTAATGCGTGTTCAGGATAAAGACAATATCATTAGGCCAAATAAAGACAGAAGGTGTTCACTATTTGTTTGTGTGTGTGGTCCAGATATTCCTTTATACCGAATGTCCTCTCAAGGATAGTATAAGGAAAGACAAAATGCTCCAAGGTTTGGCTGCTTTTCACGTGTAAAATTACGCGTCAGAGTAAGTGCGGTGATTGTCTGAAGCCCATTTAGAATCTCGCCAATCCATTGACTGATGGTGCGCGCGCCACCTTAAGCCCCGTTCACACTACAAGCGACTAAGCGACACGTTACCATTCATTTCAATGGGTTAACTTGCGGGCGACTTTGGGTGACTTCCGGAGACACGCACGACAGCGCCCATTGGCGACCGGTGGGGCATGTCCAGCGACGCGACAAAGTTGATATCTGTTTAAAGGAGAACTCCGGCGAACAATGAACCTTTGGTCTAATAAAACATTGGTACCTAGTCGTTCTCTGAGTTTTGTTTTCATGATAATCGAATGTAAAGAGCTTTATCTCTAAAAAGTGTTTAGCGTATAATGCTAGTAATGGGGGCATTGAGTAAGTAAAAAGAAATCGCTAGTTTATACCACTAACAAGGCTCAAAATAGCCCCACACTCACACAGTAACATAATGAGGCTCCATACATGCAAAACAAAGCATTGAGAACTTTGTAAGTGTACAGACCGTTTAATAAGAAGATACTTTATGAAGACAGTTCACTTCGCGTATACAGACAGGAGCCATCTTAAAAATAGTCTCGATAAGTCGATCCCCGAACGCCATTCATACAGTTCAGAAGTTCGCCGAACTTCATACAGTTCAGATCACTCAGCACGACGTTCGTGGTTTGACTTATCGAGACTATTTTTTAAGATGGCTCCTGTCTGTATAGAGAGCCTAAGTCCCGCCCCTCCGCTTCCGGCTCATGGGACCTTATTTCGGAAAAAATATGAATGGTAGTCAATGGCGAGAGACAACTTATCTTTTTATTCCGTCTGAACTCAATTACACATATGATGTTTGTCAATTGAAAAGATAATTCTGAAAGTCAAAAACATCGCAGTTTGTCATACAACAGAAGAGTAACATTTAGTTTTATGTGAAAATCGCTCTGTGAACTACATCTCCTGGGAAGCGAAACGAGATCCGCTGCTCGTGTGTGTGCAGTCTGGTACAAAACACTCAGGTAGGACGGCGTAACGTTACGATTATAACGTAAGACTGTAGAAACAATGACAGACAGCCTCAGCAAAGTTAGCCTCATTCATTGAGAGAAAATGTGCGCCTTTGGGGTTTGTAGTCTTTGTAATTACGTATTTTCACAGTCTTATACCTCAACGGTTTTACATCAAACTGCGACTTTCTTTACTTTAAAATGTATCTTTTAAATTGACAAACATCATATGTGTAATTGAGGGCACAATTCAAACGAGATCAAAATATTTGTTGTCTCTCGCCATTGACTACCATTCAATATTTTTCCGAAATAAGGTCCCATGGTGGTCGACCGGAAGGGGAGGGACTAAGGAATAATAGAACGCACCATTAGGCTCTCTATACGCTCCTGTCTGTATTTCCGTGTACATACAGTGGTGTTCACCGTACTGACTCCGTGACTGAATGGTTTCGGGAACCCAGATAGACCGGTATTTGCCCTTTTGCTGCAGTTAAATAACCGCGATGGCAAAGAGCACTCACTGTTTCTCGTTCATCTTTAATATTATACATTTAATGTACTGATTCCATTTATATTTAGACTTTTCCTTCCAAAATATATTTGTTTGTCGCGGCAATAAAACATATTTGTTGTCTAACATAGAGTAACATCCGAAATGATTTCCAGGTGGTAGCGTAGAGTGGAGCTCAACTCTAGTCTACATTGATGGGCGGAGTAGTGGGAGTGGCCTGCGGAGTTGAGCATTGCAATGCACTAAGGGGATTGTTGTCTATAATCCACAAGCACTAAAAAGTCATTTTCTGCTTTTTATCGGCCAAAAAGGACCCAAATTAGAAATTTATGATACTATTCTACTACATATATGACCCACTTTCAATACTCATGTCTCCACCGGTGGAATAACCCTTTAAATCTAGGGTTTTGCATAGGCATCTGTGAGAGTTGTTCAGAGGTAGGGGTCAGGTAGAAAATAGCATTAATCCTATATAAATGTCTATGAGAAAAATATAGTGAAAAGAGCAAGTATTTGTGTGTACCCATTAAGTATATTTTGGGGAAAATTTCTTAAAAATAAAATAAAAAAACGATATCAAAATAAACTGAATAAAAGTTATTTAAGTTGTAAAAAAAATCTGTTTAGGATTATAGTTTGGATTAGGTAATAGAATATCGTCGCTGTCCGATGAAAACCGCGTATGTCCATTTTGCCGATTTTGGGATTTCTCAACGGATAGAATGTCCAGGTTCATCTCCGTATACAGCATGCTTCACATTATCTAAATGACCAATAAAAAGTTGTGAAATCATGTCATCTGATTTCCACGTATGTCCATTTGCTGTCAAAGCTGTCAATCACGCAGCGCATCTCCCCGCCCTGTGGATGCATCTCGCCGTCTCTGAAAGCTCAGCATTAGATGACCGAATAACACTGTGAGGTAAAGTATCATCAAATTTTGTTTTTGACAACTGTTCTCAAGACCTTCCTTTACAGTAGCCCTAACTTTATCGAGGTAAACGTTTCCCCCCTGATGCCAGACATAGTGGAGAGGAGTGACAAAATTACGGTAGGATTGTGTAAATCAGTCTAGGCATCGCCATGTCAGTGTATTGATTCATTGTCTCTTCATAGTTTGCAAGAGACATTTAATAAACTGAGTGTTTTTGATAAACTGAGACGTAGGCTATTTAATAAACTGAGCGTAGCCTATTCATCTGTCAATATAAAACACGATTTGATTTGATTCGACCACCGTTACTGTACAATATGCATGTATGTCCATGTAAACTCGATTTTGGGTCAAATGTGGATTATATTATGACACTGGCAAGAATATGGTTACATTTAAAGATGTTGTACCAAGCATGACAACGCTACCTTCAGCTGCTTTTGAAATTATATGTTTTTTCACTTCTTGAAAAGTAACCGTTTTGGACATACATGAGTTTCATCGGGCAGCGACGATATATAGTTTTTACAGTATAAAAATAATGATGTCTATGGAAAATCCCCATAAAACATGGAAATCCAACGTGTATGTGTAATAATTTGTTCATCTACCTCAAAGTTTCCCAAAAGACTGAGGCTGGCGGGTGGAGCGCTGGCACTGAGGATCTGCTGAGACTCATCACAGTCTTGTGATCTTTTCAAAACCCTGCAAACACACACACACACACACACACACACACACCTCAGTCAGCCATTTTGGGTAGTCTGTAGCTTTAGGGATAACTCTAGTGTATGTGTGCACAGCAGATGGCAGTGTATGTAGAAAAGTCTCAGTAAAGGAAATATCAGTGAATTTTGGAACAATGGCACTACAGCAGGAAATAAAGTGAGGAAAGAAAGTCATACCTCTTATTGGCTGCCCATGGAACACCTCTGCAATGAATCAGAGATGTGTCTAAATCAAAATATCCTGTCTGGCTTTTTCTTTGAGGAACCTGAGGGGAAAAAAGGAGGAAGCAGATGACACATTTACAGTGACCACTTGCAGAATGTAATTTAAATATCTATTTAAACTGTTACAAAACAAACAGGAAGCCAGTTGAGGGAAGCAAGTATAGGTGAAACATGGTCCAATCAGTGAGGTCCCAATCAGTTAAATCTTTACTCCGTTTGGTTATTGCCATGAGTTCATTTTAGCCTATCCTTATCCCTAGCCCTAATCATCAACTGATAGGTCAATGAAAATGTTGTCCATGCTTCACTTCCAGATCAAACCTAAGCTAATCTCACTGGTCGATAGGAATGTTGTTCCAGGACCAACGAGGATGGCAAAAATTACAGTCAGCATGGTATGTCAAAAAAAGAACAAAGCATCTTTTTTTATACAGAACAAAACAATTCAGTTGTTTGTCACATTTAATGAAAACCAATAGAAAGAGTAAGAACTACATCTGGGTGGATCTCATCTGAAAGAACAAGAGCACCACTCATCTAGAGTAACAGCACCAAACTCCCACACACAGTGAAGTGCTTGAGTCATATGGCACAAATCAGAACTCAGTCCACAGAGGAAAACTGACATTGGTATAATTGGAAAACACCAATGGGAGTATTTATGGAAAGTATTAAAAAAACGTGGGTTATAGGGAGGAAGTTTTTATTATAGGTCTATTGTGGTCCATGAGACTTCATTAATGTGTCATCTAGGAAGTATAGGAACTCTGTGGACAGCATTGAGGCAAACAAGAAGTGATTCAGATGTGAGGCGCGATGAGTCACAGCTTCAAAGAATTTAGGCCCCTTTTAATACAATCTATGTGTTTGGAGGGCAACAGAGGGATCTGTGCTCTTACAGGGCTGGAGAGGAGAGGTAGGCCTGTGCAGGGGTGGAAGGCTTTTGTTGCAGTTCCGTCTATGGAGTGGCGATTCTGTTTCTTCCAGTTATTGCATGACTTCAGAGGGGAAGGGGGGCGTCTCTGTTTTTAAAAAGACAAAGAGAATAAATTCAGCAGAGAACATTAAATTAGGTAAAATGGCAATGTTAGTGCTCTGATAGACTGGGTTCCAAAGGAATAGATTCAAAACCCTCCACATCAACTAAAAGCATACAATTACACATTGTTACCTAGTCAACTGTTATCTGAGATTTGTTTTCATGATTGCCGAATGTAAATGGTTTTATCTATTAAAACAGTTTAGCCTATAACGCTAGTATATAGGGCAATGACAAATAAAAATCGTTTGTCATTACCACTAACAAGGCTCAAAATAGCCCCACAGTAACACGGTGGCATAATAAGGGTCTCTACATTCAAACTGCAGCATTGAGAACTTTGTCAGTGTCCATACAGTTTAATAAGAAGATATTTTATACACACAGTCAACTTCGCGAATACAGGAAGAAGCCATCTTTGAAAAATAGTCTCTACCAGTCGATCTACGAACGCCGATCCAAGTGCGCTGAACTGTGCAGAATCTCATATGGTCCATTGTTTCCGGAAGAAACACAAACACGAACCATTTTCTTCTCTTCAATATGTACATGTAGCCTACTGTTCGCGCTCACCTTATCACCTTATTCACATCTCACCAGCGCACTTGGATCGGCGTTCGTAGATCGACTGGTAGAGACTATTTTTCAAAGCCTTTTTTTTTAGCCTTGTTAGTGGTAATAACAAGCGATTTTTATTTGTCATTACTCTATGCCCTATATACTAGCGTTATACTAGCGTTATAGGCTAAACTGTTTTTATAGATAAAACTATTTACATTCGGCAATCATGAAAACGAATCTCAGATAACAGTTGACTAGGTAACAATGTGTAATTAGACCAAAGGTTCATTTTGCGCCGGAGTTCTCCTTTAACAAAGGTTTTACATCCCAGATAGCAAACTGACATTGAATGAACGTGGAAACATGACATCGAAACAACGTTGATCTGACATTGTTTTGCTCATCGAATTAACGTTGAACCAATGCCAGACGCGTCATTCTTTCAAAACTAGAGGAAAATCAACTTGAAATCAACATTGTTTCAACGTTATGAAAGCAAACCAATTTTCGATTTTCATTTAGCTTTGAAGAATGCCGCGCCTGACGTTGGTTCAACGTTAATTCGATGAGCAAAATCAATGTTGTTTCAATGTCATGGGAGATAACGTTTCCACGTTGATTCAATGTCAGTTTGCTGTCTGGGATGGCATGACAAGGTTTTAAAACAAACCAAAAGTAAGCCTATAAACACACTTGAACTTAAAAAAATCATACGGTAGGAAAGATATATCAACTCACTGTATAACTGCTCTTGGCAGGACTAGAGGAGTTGAAGGTAAAGTTGACTGGTGTGCTAGAGGGGGACGTCCAGGGCTCCTGGTTCTCGTTCTTCTCAGGACAAGTTGACCCATCCCGGACATGCTTTTCTGCTCCTTTCTCATGGATTGCCTCTTGGGTCTTGAAGGGCTGGATGTATCCAGTCTGGGTCAGCCCATTCTCCTGAGGAGAGCTTGCATGGCTAGAGTTGTTTTTCAAGGAGGCCCAGGACTCTCTACAGGCATACTGTTGCTGATTACTCGTCGTTAAAGTCTGTGATTTTGTGACGCTGTGGTCTTCAAGTTTTGAGCTGGCCACGTTTAGTGGTCTAGGGGAACAGTCTTGCTTACAGGGGCTAGAGTCAGGAGATCTGCAACATTTTGTTGCTTGAGACGTATGAGGATCTGTGCTTGCCTCGCCATTGGGTGCACATGAAAACTTCTTATGGCTTGGTGGTGATATAAAGCCATTTGTCTGGGCTCCATGGTTTGCATCAACCTGTTCATTGTGAGAGGTCTTCAATTTATAGGTGCCATTCAGGAGACTGTAATGCTGCAGTCGCTCCTGAATCAGCCTTGAAATGTCCTGAACAGCATCTGCAATCAGCGAGCCCTCAGCAGACTGGTCACTGAGTACCAGCCGCCTACGTGTTGAGGGTTTTGGGGAAGTTTTTGATTCACGGTCAACTCCAGCCAGCCGCGTTCTGCTTCTAGGGCTCAAGGGGGTGTTGAAGAGAGAAGACCGGCTCCTCTCTGGGAATTCTGGACTGGTTACATTGTGGTTTGGGGGTTGGGGGACTGAGAAGAGGGGTTCTTTGGATTTCTTCAAGCGCTCCTTATCCTGTGTTGAGTTCCAGGTTGTTTTGTGTCCCGGAGGTTCTTGAGAAGTGAAGAGAGCATCAGGGAGATGGGGAGCAGTAGGGTCACAGAAGTTCAATCGCTGAGCAATGCGAGCAATGACTTCCTGTCTTTCCTGAAGCAGGGAGCCAATGAGGGGGTTGGTTTCACCTGAGATGGAGCTGGGGCTCGGACTGGGGGTAAATAAAGGGTCAGTGATGGAGAGGGATTTAAAACCACGAATTGGTGACTCCATGGTTGATGTCTTGGGGCTCTCTGCCCCATTAGTACACGAGTTATACGCCTCTGTAGGGGGGGCATCCACACCGCCATTCAGCCGAGAATACAGCCACTTGACTGCTTTGCCTGGTGGGAGACAGGACTCAGGGTGAGGGGGGCATTTACGGGTGTTAAGAGGGCTGTGGGGAGGTGGAGAAGGGCGTAGCGGTCTGGAGAAGAGTGGAGATCCTGGCAGACGGAGGGAACTGCAGTTCTCTCCAGCACGGTTGCCAACCTCGCCACGCTCCAGGCCTCTCTTGCCCAAAAAACCAAGACCTGAGTGGATGCTACATTTGAGTACGGGGTATTTGGGCTGGCGGGGCAAAGACTGAACCCGCACTTTGAGAGCAACACTATGGGACACATTTGGGACTGGGAAGGCATGTTCAGAGGGTGTTTGAGAGAAGTTCCATATCAGTTCTTCATCAGCTGCACTTATTCTGCAAAATACAGCAAATGGAATTGTCAAAAAACAATGTAAGGTCTTTCTTCCTTTCTCTCTTGACTTCCTGTCTCTCGTGATCAAAATATTCTCCTGAAAGGCAAATACAAAATCCTCTGGATGGTTTTACAGACTTTTTACAGAGCACTTTTATATCATTTGTTTAATGAACAAGCCCAATGGAATCACCAATATACACATTGGCCATGTTCCAAAACCTATTGAGAATCCTAAAGAAATGCTGATTTTAAATATATATATATTTAAATATTGATAAATGAGTGCTACATGTCATAAAAAGAATTACTACTTTACATCTTTTTATAACATTTTTATCATTATTAGACTTTCAAAGATTTAACTTTGCAATGTGCTACTAACAACAAACCTTATTGGAATCAACGTTTCAGAACACAGCTATTGAGATACAACTCTTGTCTACATCAGGAAAACTCCATCATTCGTTCCCACCCTGGAGAAGTTGTTTATGTGTAGAGTATGTTACCTGTAAAGGATGTTTCTAGGTACAAGTCCGTGAGAGGCACTGAACCAAGCGCTGAGCTGCGAGAAAAACACGTAGGAACGCACGGCCAACAGCAAGGTTTTCTCCTCAATAAATCGATCTCCACTCCTGCAACAAATACCAAAACCACTTAGTTAAATCTCCCTAGATCTGTGTGAAAGAATGTATATTGCAAGTTCTGTAAGTGACGAGTAGGGTTGGGTATCGTTTGAATTCGAACGATTCTGATTCCGATTCCGATTCCTTGTTTCGATTCCGGTTCCTAACGATTCTCGATTGCGATTCTTTTAAGAGGCGGGGTCAAAAAAGTTTAGCTAACCTTGCTAACCAATGGTCTGTCTGAAGGATATAATCCTTTCTGAAGGAAATACTCCTTTTGTGACAAATTTTGCATTTTGCCGAGATTGCGTTATTTTTAGAAAAGTGAAGCCACACTTTGGACCACCGACGTAAGCTACTCATGTTCGACTCGCGCGGTTATGCCAACACTTCCGGTAGACGCTTCTTCTTTGGTGTTGTTCAGTGGTTTCTTCTTCCGCTCGGCGGACTGTGAATATCGAAACTAGGAATCGAAATTTTAACTTTTGAACGATTCCGGGAAAAATTAAAAGTTAGTCCCCGTTCCAATCGATACTCGATTCTCGATACCCAACCCTAGCGACGAGTATGTCTTACTCTCTAGGTACTGGTTGTAAAGTCCATCTCTCTAGTAAGAGTGCATCTTGCTTTATTGCTGGGTCATTTAGGTCCGTGCAGTCTGTGGTCGAGCCTTCATCGCTGTAGCAACAGTCAGGAAGTAACATTACCTCGACCATGATGGGGATGTGATTGCGCCATAGTAACATGACCTCTGACCTTATTCTCCTTGCCTGACGACACTGTATTGGGGAAACATTTTTTTTCGTTCTTTATTACATGACACAAGATGCAAAATAACCAAGGTGATAAGTGCAATTTCCTTGTCACTTGTGACAAAAAATGAAAACTGTTATCAATCAGGTTTCCAGATATGATGGTTTGTCGGTCCCTGTTAATAAAGAATTGCACTGGTAGTATTTTCTTAGAGATGTACAGCTGTTGTACTTATTGGATGCATCTTAACAACTCATATTTTTACTCTTAAAAATCCTAAAACGTAACTACTAAATGCCCCAGCTCGGGTGGATAAAAAGATGTAACCCACCTGTGGTATTTTGTCGCTGCATTCATGTTTGGTTAAGACAGGCATAGCAGACTGGGCAGGTGGGCAATGAACACCCTCGGTCCGCCCCTTTACGGAACATTCTGGAGTCCGTCCTTCTGTGATCAGGAGTGTCAGGAACACCAGGAACTCCTCAGGATCATACTCAAAGAACTCCTCCGCTGCTTCTAAAAAGATACATGGATTGAATTACTGACATGTTGCCATTTAATAATCAAAAAACTTTGAATATCGTGCAGTAGGTGTATATATATATATATATATATATATATGAAGAGTTCAGATGCAAAAGCCTCTAAATGCCATTTGAAATTTTCTTCTTTAATGATGATTTTTATCAAACTTGTATATTTAAGTTCAGTAATTTCACTTAAATAACAATTAATAGGTAATTATCATTTCCATTTAAGTGAAATCACTGAACTTAAATATACAAGCTTGATAAAAATGATCATTCTAGAAGAAAATTTCAAATGGCACTTAGAGGCTTTTGCATCTGAACTCTTCATATATATATATATATATATATATATATATATATATATATATATTATATTTTTTTTTTTTTTTTTTTCGGAGAAGACGCGTTTGTCTCCATGAAATGTTTTTTCTTTCCTTAGAGTAGTAAATACTGTGGGGTTTGTCAGCAGTTTACCTCACAGTGTGGCAAAACCATTTCCTTACTACTTGCTAGTCGGTATCAGATGATGGAGAGACCTACTCACTCTAAAGAGCAGTTGGATAAAAATGTCTATGCGGAGACAAGATGATATATCTTCTATAAAGTTAATTGTGTCTAGTTGTAGGAGTGCACAAGCATTTAGATCCTCAAAGCTATAGATTAGCCTCAAAGCCAATAGACGTGGACTAAAAAGGCTTATTGACACAGCAGGAGTATTTTTAACTTCTGTTTTCATAAAACCAGACACGCAAAGCTAGTTTCACAGTTCCAGAGAAGATAACACTGTTTATCCATAGCAAACAATCTTTGCTCAGTTGTGAAAACTGGGCTTAACAAACATGCATACACAATTTCTCCAGCAGCAAAACATACCTGAAAGCAGCTGTTAGTATTTACATGGAATGTAGAAACACGTGTTAAAATGCGACACTCCCCAGTCCCGATTCTGAGTCAGAAATTCCAAAACATTTTTCCACAACCTGATGGACCTGTTGAATAACATTGTGTATACAGTATGTGTAAAAAAAAAAAAAAATAAAGCTGACTATTAAAATTCAATTGGACTCATTATAGGTAAAACGTTTTCATGAATCATTCCAATTAAAGCCTGAACTGCAGGTGAATCCTCATTATTTGATAATGCGCAAATGAAACAGGCCCTCGATGACATCTAAAGTTCAACACAGATTAGTTTTGCTGGTAGTAGTTATTCCATGTTTGCTGAGAAGCAGATAGAAGTGAGATTCACAAGAGCAGAGTAGGTTTACCCACAGCTTTGAGCAGCAAACAAAGGCGTCTACATGGCAGTTGAGGTCCGTTACAGTCGGCCAATGGGCCTATTGTTCTGACAGCGTCAGACTCCCAGGACAACAGGGTCTCCCTCTCCCTCTCTCTCTAGTTAACTTTATACTTTCATTCTGTTCATTTTTAAATGTCTAAAAAAGGGAAATATATGTTATTGTAATGAAATGTTTTAATTGTTACTCATTTATTTTCAATAAAAATAAAACATTTTCTTGAAATGTTGGTTGGCGAAACACATTTAAATATTATTTTTCGAACTATCTAATGAAATCTAGTGCCGTTTTATATCCCTCTCATGATGTAGTGTTAAAAGCTCTGAACTTTGAGGTTGAAAAGGCACAGAATCCACAGTATTATCCAATGGGTGGAGTGGAGTACATGCAACGTAGTTGTAAAGAGAAAGAGCCTATTGAAAGGGTTGTGTCAAAACAATCCTGATGCATTCAAGTCTATTTCAGGAGTCTTTTCATTACACCAATCTGTCAAGTTTACAACAGGGCTATAGGGTGACTGGCTGAGCATGCATGAATTAACCTTTTTTTTCCAGTTCCATACTGGTGATTTTAGTTGGTGTTCACAAAGTGAATACACTTACTATGCTTGCATTGTGGTCATAATAATACTATGCAAACCAAATTCGATCCTGAAAAACCAATGGGTGGAGACACAGAATGGCTGTTCAAGACAACACCACACTGTGCAGAACTGTTCTATGACCCACTTGTGTTGAATTAATATACTCCTTTTCTTACATCTGCAAAAAGAAAAAAAAAGAAGAAGAAAAAAAAAGCGTTTACAACCATTTATTCGTGATTTTGAAATTAAAAGCACAGTTTTCCAAAAGGTACACAAAATGTCCACACCAACTTGGGCACTATATTCTAGGTCTTCTGAAACCAAAAAAGGTTTTGTTCGAAAAACAGGCCTATATTCAAGTATGTGTTGAAGGAAAAACATCTTCAATTTAATTTCAAATGCATTTTGACAACACATTTGAGCAGATGCAAGGGTGGGCAACAAAAACTCAGATTCGCAATTAAATCTATGTTGATGATGATAATCTCTGGACATTTTTTACTCAATATGGATAAGACTATCAGAAAAATGAAATATGTTATTTTTGGAATATCATACAGTACAACCAATATATAGCCATCAATGTTTTAATTCATACAGAATAAAAGTTCTGTTGGGCAGTAGTTTAATTTTGCATATATATTTGGCAAAAATAAATAAATAAATGAAAATGCAATTGTTTGATATAATTTAACTGTTATAATTTAATTTAACAACATTTTAAAAGGTTAATTAAACCTTCTATGAATTCATTTCAGTTCAGATTTTTTAAGGTAGATTTGGAGGTAGTTATGTTGTATTCATTCTTAAGGTCTAACAAAATATGTGGAGTGCTTTTCCTCTGCCATTTATCATACCAATTTTTTTTTTTTTTGGCCATTTTACCCAGGCCTATAAGCAGACGGCAAGATTTTTTGAGAATAACTACCTGTGGCCTGTACAAAAAAAAAAAAAAAAAATAAATAACCAGTGACCTTCAAAGCTATGGCTAAAAGTAAAAGTACTTTTTTTTTGAATATTTATTATTATTTATCATATGGGTTTAAAGTATTCCTAAAATATAGAAATTATTCCAAATCTGTTATGGACAATCAAAGACAATTTGTTTAAAGTGCTGTGTAAAGCACGATCTGTTGGCACGTGATGTAAGCCTGCTAAACTAATGAGGCTTTTAGAGATGGTGGCATCACTGCACAACAACTCAGCCCTAATCTACGCCACTGTTGTGCGGGTACAGTCACGCTTGGTGAGTAAAGAAATGCGTGTCATGTTCCGGGAGAATTGTGTGTCGTGTTTTTTAACGGTCAGCATGGACACAAAGCTGCCTGCCATGATGCCAAATCTTCTCGTGTTTACAACTTGGACAATGAGCGCTTATCGGGATCAACTAAACATTGAATTTTCAAAACTGTGTGATATTCGTGGCGCCATTGATGCAGTAAACTTGCACAACATTGTTGAATGAATAACTTATTAGTTGTTTTGTGTACCCCTGAGAAACTTTGCGTTCGCTTGCAAAACCTTTGCATTCCCTCAAGAAAGTTGAGTTCGCCAAGTTCGCTTACAAAACTTTTTTGCGTTCCCGCAAGAAACTTTGCGTTCGCTAGCAAAACCTTTGAACTCTTTGTTATTGTTTCTCAAAACATTTGCGAAAGAACACAAAAAGCATTGACATAAATGTTTTCCTCCATCTAATTTTTTTTCTTATTGTCCCTTTAGGGGCATACTATAACGAACTATAACAATAAATATTATTAGCGTTCACAACAACGCACTTAACCCTTAAAACACACACCTCAAGTCTTTTTAGTAACCCGAGACTTCATTCACTACCCTCCTTCTCATTCATTTTTTAAAGTTAGACACTAACCTTTTTAGTTTTCCTCAATCAATTCAATATAGTCACTATAACAACAACAACAACAAAAAAGAAATAATACAATTATAAAATAATGCCTGTTTGCTGAAGCTGTCGGCAATCAAAATATTGATTTTGAAGATGTTGAAAATTGTAATTTTGTTTGAGATCATGAATATTAGCCAGATGTTATACAGGGATGATGGTATAAAACTAGAGCCTGACCGATAAAGGATTTTGAAGGCTGATACCGATGCAAATATTTTTAGGTTTAAAAATCCGATATTCCGATATATTGGCCGATTTTTTTTTTTATTAAATATTGTTGGATTTCACACACGTGTATAAGAAAAGCTAACTTTTCTGCACAAGATACAATTGATACTTTTTCTCTGTCTAAATGTTCACTCCTCGCAAGTATAACTTACATTTTACAATGCAGGGACTGTAACTAGAGATATGCTAGTTATAAATACAGTAATCATTACTTTATTTAGGCAGAAAAAGTTCATTGTGGTTTCCCAGCTCATTAATGTTAACGTTAGCGGTCTTCCACTGATTATATTGGCATTAGCTAGCTTTGTGGTTAGCTAGTCTATGATGAGCCATAATTTAGCAATAGATAACATCATACTGCAAATTGTAAAACATACATTTTCAATATAACAGGCCAAGGAGAGATGATTGAAGCATGTTTCGTCCATTTTTATTTTACTTTTTAAATATTCATTTCATTTATCTGCCATTATAACTGCCGATACCGATATTTTGGAAAATGCCACATCGGTCTGGCTCTATATAAAACATCTGCTCAAACTGAACCCTTACGAGCTCCTAAAGTTTTATATTATCGTGACATGTAGAGATCCATCCATGTTAGATATAGATCAGGGTCGCTAAAGACCCGAAAATGTAATAATGATTGGCGATTTGCAGTCAAGCATTTAAGGGTGATTCTAAAAATGTTGTCTCTCAGTGCCGCTATCATTAGAATTGTTATAAGGACCCTGAGGCCCCGTCCACACTACTACGTTTTCGTTTAAAAACAGAGAATTAAAACGAATACGATCTCCGTCCACACCAGCGTTTTATCTGTGTATTAGAATTGATCTCAGTCCACATTAAAACGACGCGGAAAACGCGGATTGGGTGTTGGCTGACGAATCAGGGAAGAATATGTCATGACTGATGACACCCAATCATAGAGCCGTCGTTTCTAAAGTCCTCTGGTTTGTCCCGTCTTCAAC